CTTCTTGCCCTTCCGGCCCCTCTTTTTCTGTTGAGGCTTGCAAACTTTGACAGCGTTCACCTCCTGGCGAGAACTCCCCCCAAGTGGTTGAGCGACAAAGTTCTTTTTGAGAACCTCGTCCTGTGCCTCTGCCACCTGGAGGACGTCAATCAACTCTGAATACCTTGTGTAGTTCCCCTGGCGGTAGTTCCGTGAGGACTGGACCGCGTCGGGGTGGAAAGTGGATAGAGTTTTCTCAATCTTATTGGAGTCGGTAATCTCAGTACCACACAACCGAAGAGTCATACAAATCCGGTGCAGAGCTGAATTGTACTCCCCAACCGTCTCGAAGTCCACAAACCTCAGACGGATCCACCCTGCCTCTGCACGTGGCTTCATAGTGTACTTCAGCCGCTCAAACCGCTACTTAAGAGCGGTCCAAAGGCCAGAAGCACTGCGCTCAGCCATATACTCATCTTTCAGAGTAGGTGACAGGTGATGACGGAGAAAGTGCAGAGCCTGCGCATTCTCAGTTTCGAACTTGGGATCAGTGGCGGCCAGCTGGGCCCCCTTACCGATCGCCCTCAGGAGGGTTTTGCCCTGGAGAAAGATATCGTAGTCCGAGGACCATGACAGGTAGTTCAGCCCTGTCTGGGCCAACTCAGGAAACTCCTTGTTGACAATTCCGGCCATCTGCGATTTATGCAAAAATCATGAGATCAACAGGTAATCTTTTGCACAAAGCGATGTTGATAAACTTATTCAATAAAATGACGTTCCAATATTTAAAACATGCTATTATATGACTTACTAAATGATTAAGAGTGCTAAACAATTAATTTACAACAGCAAAATCATACAATAATATCATGTTACAAAAGATAGCATGTTAAGCGCATCTAGTATGTGAAAAATAGCCAAAATTGAATTTTCGAGGCATTTTTAAGCCCAAATACGCATTTTCAGCGAAAACAGACAGTTCCAGGGACTTATACGCAAAATATTACAGCAGGAATATTGTCGCATAAATCTATGGTACTGCAGGGGCTAAAACATAAATAACCGCACGCGCACGCGCTCTCTGGCCTGGCCCAGGTCGTCTGCAGGCCAAAAAATGGGCTGTCGGCCCGTGTAGCCAGCCCCACCGCCCTCCCCCCTTTTTTTATGGAGGGAAGAAGGAGGCCCATGCGCGCAGCCCACTGGGCCGACCTGTTTGCCAGGTCAGGGGTCGCTAGGGTTTCCAACCCTAGCGCTCGAGCGCCCGAGCGGCGGCGGCCTCGACAGGCCCGCATGCACGCCCGGAGCGGCACGGCGCGGCGGGGCGGCGCGGCCACGGCG